AGAATAGGAAGAAAGAAATACGAAAAACACGAAAAATACAGAAATAACACTAAACGCACAAAATGACTCAAATGACCGGAAAAACCTACAAAACAACCTAGAGTGGGAAAAGAAAGATAAACAAAATACCACAAAAGTAGCAACAAAAATGGGACAAACAAGAGCCAAACTACAAAGGTCTTAGATGAGAGGGTCCACCTAAGTTTTATGCCAGATCCACTAGCGTGCCATGTGGCCAAGGAGAAGCCATGTCGCCTTCTGACTATCCCAACCTTAACACATGGCCCCCATATGAAATGGGTTTTGTATTTCTTTCCTCGAAAACAAGGAAAACAAGCAAACCAAAACACAAGAAAAATAAGAGAAAAAGAAAATAAGGAAAAGAATGCGCGTACTCTATACGGTGATTCACCACCGTGTGTCCATTAGTGTTCGTCCGGTAGAAATAAAGAGAAATTGGCCCGATGGCCATTCGACCTCCAAACGAGACCATCTGAATGGTTGTACGTGGTATGCATATAGCTCCATAAGGCATCCGAGCATATTTACATTTGAAAGCATATGAAAAGTCAAGATTGCCGCCCCACGACTTCGGTTAAGAGCTACTTGTTTGCATCTCGGAGGGATAATATTCGTGAATCCACAAATTTCTCGACGAAGATGCAAGTATACTTTGAAAGCTCAATCTCCAAGAATTTAATGTTCGTGCTAACTATCACCATTTAATCCTTAGGACTATAAAATAAACCACCCCTCATTTCCTTAGGATAGACTACAAACAGTCGTACATCTAAATGCTTGTCCAACTTATCAGTATCCTACTTTAGCACATGTGATGTACTATCCCAAATTCGAATGTGTGATAAACCAGACTTTCGTCTGTTGATCAAAATATTTGATTGACCTATATTATAAAATTTAGTGTGGCTTCTAAGTGATTATGACAATAAAAATCAGATTTAAGTAAAGAATTTGCATAAAAGTGAATTTATATAAGGTTGTACTCTCTGGCCGTTGAGGTCAGATTCCGTCTTAAATGTGGTATTAAATGTGGGAATGTTTTTCTGATACAAAGTATTCAATTGGCCAGAATCTTGAATCCCCTCCAAAATGAATCGTCGGACTATATATAGTAAGATACACTCGATCACTGTTCATCGGGGGCACATCCATTTAATATTGAATGACAAGCATTTATTGTGGGCGTGCTACTCTAAAGGCCTAGGGAATGTAGGTGTGCAGTGGCGACGTGCCGGTCCCATCGGTCATCATTTGGCTGCAAGTTGGATTATTATAATATTTAGTGGGTAGAGAATGTAGAGTGTACATGGAGTTACCTTATCCCTTTATATAGAGATGTTACCTTATTGCCCAAGACTACCCGAATGGGCTACCCGAACTACCAGAGCTACCCGTTCGTACTGCCCAAACTGTCCAATTCTGCTATCCCACGTGGTCCAATTCACATGTAGTTCTTATCCTGATTATAATCCTTCTCATTCATTATTCTATCTTATTAGACGGTCTAATCGTGCAACCAACCCGATGCGCCTCGAGGTAGAGTTCCTTCAATTATCTCTTCTGGTTGATCCATAAACCAGTCATGCCTCAGGTCAAGTTTCAATCAGGCCATCCGAGGGCCATAGCTCGGCCTGTCAGTGGTACTCCATCCTACAATGTCCTCGTCGACCTGAGGACCCTTCGACCTATAGCTCATTGAATCTCCATTCGACTTATTGTTCCACCTAGTTCAATCAGTTGCTTTATCGGCTCATGTCGACCTGGTATAATATCCCATTTATTAGTAACTTATTATAAATATTTTTCTCTCAATAGAATTTAAGTACAAGTAAAATTACCTATTAAATTTAAAGTCATTTGTTAACATTAGATTCAATATTACATTAAAATACGTAAACATAAACAATTTATATATAAAAAAAAAAAAGTTATTATGGCGCAGGCACTTGTCTTTTTATTAATGCCAAAATTGTCTTTTTATTAATTTAGTGTAATAGTGTATTAAGTTTTTCACACCGCTCGCTCATAAGTTAACTCTTTCATCCCGAAAGGTGCGAAGACATTTTGCGATTAATATGCGATGATTTTTCGATTGATATGTAACAGTTGTGCGGTCCATTTGTGTAACCTTCACACTTTTTATGTTGAAAAAGTTAAATTGTCATTTCACAATTTCAAAAACCTAAGACATCTTTGTAGCATAATTAATTTTTTTTATTACTCTGTAACGCAGCATTGGAGGGAATTCTTTCTCACTAGTATTCGATTATGTGCACATGCACAAATATTTAAACTATTATAAATTATATGCATGTATATAATATTAAAATTATAAGTTAGATAATAATATCACATTTTAAAAATTCTGTCATCAGTAAAAATGAACATGATAAATGTATTCAACTTCATCACTATATTTATTACATAAAATGAAATGGATAATGTAGTTTTTTTCAATTTGATGGATCCTGACCTATTAGTTGTCTTAGAAAGTAGGCAAATTTGCCTCTAATATCACGACATTTATCGAAGTTGCAATTTAATCATGACCTTTTCACTTTTGCAATATATCACAATCTTTAGTTTGTTGCAAACATTCTGAAAACAATCATAGAAAAGTTGATGTGGTCAAATAACAAACTGAAGATTGTGATATAGTTTGCACGGGATATGCAAATCGGTGCACGAATTTGCAACAAACCGAAGATGGTGATATAATTTGCAAAAGTGAAAAAGTCGTGATTAAATTGCAATTTCGGATGGTATACAAAAATTCTCTCGGGTGAGAGCTGAAATTCTCTCGGGTGAGCGCTGAATTCTCTCGGGTGAGACTAGAGATTGGTAGTTGAGTGATTCTTCATAGCGATTTCGATCAGGGGGTGGTGAGGATTTGGTTTTTACTGGTTTCATCAGAGAGTATTGTTTTAGGGGTTCTTTTTAGGGTTGTGGCTCTGTGCCAGTTTGCGATCTGATGGGTGATAAATCGCCTAATAGAGGTGAGCGAGGGATCTAGAGGAGGGAGTGATGAATAAACTTCTTCATATGTCTCTCTCGACCACAGAAACGGGCGAAGTTGAGATAAAAAACGACGACATCAAATATAGTGAGGAAGAATGTAGACGAAGCCTTTTTGGCAAGATTGTTGGGGATAGACACGTGGGATTGCTGGGTATTAAGAGAACGATGGGTTCAATATGGCGAATGCAGAGTTCCATGGAGGTGAAGGAAATCAGTGAAAACTTCTTCCAGTTTATATTCTTATCCAGGGAAGACATGAAGAAAGTGGGATCTGAAAACAATTGGATGTATGAGAACCAGTACTTGATGTTGACGGAATGGTTCCCAGGGCTTCACTGTGCCCACAGCTGTTTTGAGGAAATCACGCTATGGGTGCAAGTTCTTAATGTGCCTTTAAACTGGATGAGCATGGATGTGGGCATCAAAATTGGCCAGATTTTCAACAAAGTGAAGAATGCCATTGTCTGTAAAGTGGGTGGAGATGTGGGAAGCTTCATCAAAATACTGGTGGCTATCAATCTCAAAAAACCTATTTCCAGATGTACTACTGTCAAGCTGGGTGATCAGAAAGTTATGGTTGTCTTCAGGTATGAAAAGCTTGTTAATTTATGTTACTATTGTGGGTTGATTGGGCATCTAGAAAGAAACTGTAAAAGGAGGGAAGAAAATGTAGAAGGGAGATGTGTGGTTGAGGGGCAATATGGTGACCGGATGAAGGCTAATGAAACTTATCCTGGGGGCAGATCTTCTTTTAGTCATACATCTGGGGATAAAGGCAGCATTCCTAAATCCAATGCCATGTTTGACTCGAGGGGCTCTGATAACCTTTCTTCTAAGGGGGTCTCCTCTGTAAAAAGGATTAGTAATGATCTGGTGGAAGGTAATCAGCAAGTAGTACAAATCTTTCCAATTGCTGAGGAGGAGGGGAAGATTAGGGATGAACCTGATAGAGAGGAAATCCAAGACAATGGGGGAGTGGTTGCTGAAAGTGGTAAGGGTGGTTTGATGGATATTGAGGGAGTCAATCATATGTTGGAGGTGATACAAGGAAAGGAGAAGGGGCATGAATGCTCATATAATCTCAGACAGAGACCAGTTGCCATGTGGAAGAGGAGAAGTCCTGCACAAAACAAAATGGAGAGTTCTGTTGAGGAGTCTGTAATTTTCAAATCAGCTGGGAACATGAAGAGGAGTAAGGCTCTTGTAATTTATGAAAGGCAAAGAAAATGTTTGGAAGGGTAGCCTAGTGATAAGAAGCAGAAAAGGAGCATTGGTCTGAGTTTGGTGGAGAAGGCCAGCCACAAATGGCCCCAGAGTGACCAATGAAGGTCATGGTGTGGAATTGTAGAGGGCTGGGTGGGCCCTCTACAATTTCCCAGATCAAGGATTCCAGAAGGATCCACCACCCTAATATTATATTTTTATCTGAGATTAAAAAAAAATAGAGAATTTACTACCACTGTATGTAGGAAGCTTGGCTTTTATTCTAGATGTCCTTTTGTTGATCCCACTGGTACAAGAGGAGGGCTGCTTCTGCTATGGGACTCCTTGGCTGAAGTGAATCAAATTGTCAGTAATGAGTTTTGTATTCAGGTAGAGGTGAAAGGGACTGGGATTGATAATTTGTGTTGGATGGTATTTGTGTATATGAGCACTGATAGAAGGGAGAGGGGTACGCAATGAGCATTCCTTGAAGGTAGGAAAGGGTTTTGCGGGGAAGGGTGGCTTTTAGCTGGGGATTGGAATGATATTGTATGCAATGAGGAGAAAAGAGGAGGAGTGGCTAGAAGATCCAGCAGCTTTGTGGGTTTTCAGGATTTCATAAGTAATATGGAGATGCAAGAAATTCCTCAGGTAGGGTCTTTTTTTACCTGGGGAAACAACAGAGCTGGGGATGGTTATGTAGAAGATTGACTTGACAAAATCTTGTGTCAGCTGAATGGTTATCTAAATTTCCCAGAATGGAAGCCTCCAATTATTTCAGAACTGCCTCTAATCATAATGTACTGTTTTTTTACACTGAGAGAGAGGTGTGCAGGAGACATAAAAGATTCCAATTTAATAGCAGTTGGGTGGAGATGGAGGGTATCCAAGAAGCTGTGAAGGATGGGTGGCAGGTAAGAGTGGAGGGGTCTGTTATGTTTCAAGTTCATCAAAAAATCAAGCATACCAGAATGGCTCTTCTGGCTTGGCACAAACCGAGCCACAGAAATAGTGAGAGGGTTATAAAAGTTCTGACAGAGAAGCTGGCGGAGATGAGATGTCAGGGGAAGGATATTAACTGACAAGAATGGGGAGATCGGAAAGGGATTTGGATAAAGCTCATATTGAGGAAGAAAGTTACTGGAGGAGCAAATCTCGGGCTCTGCGGCTCAAAGGGGGTGACTGCAATTCAAAATACTTCCATGCCTTTGTTGCACAGAGGAGACATACAAATTCTATCACCAAGCTTGTTAGCAGTACTGGGGAGGTTTTTGACAATCAAGAAGCTGTTCAGAATCATATTTCCAACTTCTACTCTGATCTATTCACTTCAAAAGGGTCAAGGGGGGGGTCATGAACTGCTCCAGCGTATACCAGGTTCCATATCTGATGTTGCTAATTCAGAACTGACCAAACCCTTTTCAGAAGAGGAAATTAAAGTTGTGGTCTTCAATATGGCTCCTGAGAAAGCTCCAGGTGATGATGGTATAACAGCTAGTTTCTTTCAAAAATTATGGCATATTGTGAAAGATGATGTGTGTATAGCTGTGTGGTGTTTCTTTTCCACTGGTCACCTTCTGAAAAATCTGAAATATACTATTATTACACTGATACCAAAATGCATGCACCCAGACTCCTTAAGTAAGTACAGATTAATCAGCTTGTGTGGAGTGTTATACAAGATTATTGCTAAACTGTTAGCTGATAGATTAAAACCATGTCTGGAGGATTGCATTAGTCATGCTCAAACTGCATTTGTCCCAGGCAGGTTACTCCTTGACAATGTTGTGGTTGCCCATGAGACGTTTCATTATTTGCATAGGCATAGAACAGGGCCTAATGTTTTTATGGAAATCAAGCTGGATATGGAGAAGGCTTATGATAGAGTGGAGCGGGAGAGCATAAGGAAAGTGATGGAGAGGATGGGCTTTCAAGCAAAATTTATTCAGTGGATCATGAACTGTATTGTTTGTCCTTCTTTTTCTTTTAATGTGAATGGCAAGGTATGTGGTTATGTCAGATCTTCAAGGGGGATAAGGCAGGGGGACCCCCTGTCCCCTTACCTCTTTATATTGATTTCTGAGGTGTTTTCCTCTTATCTAAACCATAAGGTCTCTACTGGTGAATTTAGAGGCCGGCTTAAAATTTCAAGAGATGGGCCTATGGTTTCTCATCTCCTTTTTGCTGATGATGCACTTGTATTTTGCAAAGCTGATGAAGCTTATGCAGGCATGTTGCTGGAGTTTCTTCATAAATACCAGTTGTTCACTGGTCAGAAGGTCAATTTGCACAAGTCTTCTCTTTTTTTGAGCAAAAATGGTTGAGCAACTCTCAGTGCAAGACTATCTGGTTTGTTGGATGGGGTGAAGATTAAGAGATCATCAAAGTATCTTGGTTTACCTTTGGGGTTTGGGGCCTCTAAAATAGACACTTTCCAGTTTGTTGTTGAGGTTGTGAGAGATAGGATATGCAGTTGGTAAAACCATTTCTTATCAACTACTGGCAGGGAAGTGTTAGTGAAGCATGTGCTCAGTGCTTTACCTGTTTTTGTCATGTCATGTTTTGTTATTCTTGTTAGTGTGTGCAAGGAGGTGTGCAGGTTGATGTCTAGATTCTGGTGGCAGAAGGGAGATGACAGAGATAAGGGAATGCATTGGCTATCTTGGGATAATCTTGCAATACTAAAACTGAGGGAGGCCTGGGATTTAAAGACCTGAGATTATTCAACAAGGCTCTGATTATGAAACAGTTTTGGAAACTCATGGAAAAACCTGACTTGTTAATGAGCAGAATTCTAAGGCAGAAATACTTTAAGGATTGCTCTATTTTTGAGTGGCAGAAGACAGGGGGAGCATCATGGCTGTGGACATCTTGGGCTTCTTTTCTTCCTAAGTTGCAGAAATTTGTGAAGATCACCATAAGAAATGGACAAAGCACAAGACTGAGTGAGCCTAATTGGGTGCAAGGGCTCAAGGGAGTAAAGCCTGTGCTTAGAGTGGGAATTGATGGGAATATATTCAGGGTGAAGGACTTGCTTATGGCTGGTAGGGTTCACTGGGAAAACACTCTGGTCAGAACTCTATTTTCTACTGAGGCTGTGTTTATTGTGTTTTTGTGCTTATTTTCGTGTGTTTATGTGTTTTAGTTTGGTCTTTTTAGGTTCGTTTTAGTGTCATCCGGTCCATTTTGTCGTGTTTCGTGTATTTTTCTTGTTTTTCTTTCTATTCTATTTTTGGCGTATTTCTCCGTGCTTCTGGGTGTATTTCAGGTTTATTTCGCGGATGAAGAGAAGGGTCGAACTGAATTCCGAGATACGAGCATTTTCGAAAGAATTCCAAGAAGTGTCGAACCAATCGCACGAGCCGTCCCCATTCCGAGAATTTCGAGCCATGGTGCCGCTGCCCTGGGCCACTCGCGACCGCGCGCCAGGACCCGCACCTCATGGACGCGAGATGCTGTTGTCCCGGAACCCGCGACACGCGAAAGCCCACGCGACCTCGAGAGTGGTCCCTTACCTCGCGCCGAGTCCGTGCCGTCATCGTGTCCGCGCCGCGCGAAGTCCTTCGCGACCTCGAGAGTAGTCCTCTCAGCGCCATCTGCGACCCGCGCCTCGCGCCGACCTCGTGCCACGCCGCGCGAACTGGCCCGCCAGGTCGAGAGTATCACTGCCCAGCACCGTCCGCGAGCGCGAACCTTGCCGCCAGCTCGAGAGTGTCCGTGCCCTCACTTCCGCGCGCGCGAGCTTCCCCGCAAGGTCGCGAATATCCCGCTTTCCTGCCGTCCGCGCGCGCGAGTTTCTCCGCCAGCTCGAGAGTAGTGGATTTCTCCCGCGCCACTCCGTGCCATGCCCGCGCTACCTCGTGACTTGCCCGTGCCAGCCTAAGCCCGCGACCTGCGGAATTCCCGGCGAGCTCGAGAGTACCTGTTAGTAAATGTGCGTGAAACCAGTATGTGTTTTGAGCTGCACTATAAATATATTTTGGTCCTTTGTACTTGGGACATCGAGATTTCATTTTTCACTTTCCCACTTTGGGAATAGCTATTTTCTTTTTAGTTTTCTCTCTACTCTCTCTTGGGAGCTCTATGACATCATTTTCCGGCGAATTTTCCGGCGAGTTTTATTTTGTTTAAGTTCCTAGCTTTTGACTCCAATTTTCATCTAGCATGCAATAGAAGATTGGGTATTTACTTTTAAAGCTCATTACTTCGATTTTACCTCGTTTTTACTTATGGAATTTTTCAAGGTGAATTTGAGTGTTTGTTTGATGATGGAGGATATACTTGGACTTGATCATTGCTCATGTTTGTTCTAGTAGAGACTATTTGCTTGCCTATCTAGATTAAGGGTTAGGACTCTATTTAGAGCTTAATCACTTAGGTTAGAAGGTTGGGATTAGTGATCTAGAGTTAGAACTTGCATACTTCTCGTTGTTGATTCGTTCGATGATGATGGCTTAGAGACTCCGGTCGTGTTAATTGCTTAATTTTCTAGTTTGCTTGTTGCTTTCAATTCCGAGCATCGATTAGCATTAATTCACTCTCCAACCAATTGATTAGCATGTTTAGCTTTTATTTTCTCATTTTGTGTGATTTGGACAATTAAGTGGTAAACAAAGCTCCGAACCGTCTTCCTTTGAGAACGACTCGAGGTCGGGTAGCTCGGTTACCATCTACCCACAAAATACTACAAAACAAATGGCGCCGTTGCCAAGGACGGCAAGTAGAACGCCTAGTTTATTACTTGATTGTCCCTTTTTCTCGTGTTTCTCTTGATTTTTGTGAACCTTGGTTAATTTCCGTATTTCTCTTGATTTCTCTTGTTCTTGTAGATAGTTTGTTTTTGTTGATTGTGTTTTGCTCTTGTTTCCCATTAGTGCATTCACGGGTATAGTTGTTGGTTGTGTTTATGCGAGGTAGACGGAAGAAAGCAACCCGAGAGGAGACTCCACCGTTAAATCTTTTTGTTGAGCTCAACATAGACGAACCACAACCGGAGCCCGAACCCGAACCAATGGCGGGACAAGGAGATCAATTGCCCCAACCACCCCAAAACATGAGGTACTTTGCACGACCAATCATTGGAGACAACACTTCGTGCCTTGTGCTTGGGGAGGCGGCCCGAAACTATGACCTCAAGACGATCCATCTTAACCAACTTCCCTCATTTTATGGCCTCGCACAAGAGGATGCACTCAACTTTATCCGAGATTTCTACTCGACGGTCAACACTTTGCGTCTCCAAGGCTTAACCGAAAACCAACTTCGAATGAGATGTTTCCCCTATACTTTGAAAGATCGGGCCAAGACTTGGTTCATGACATTGCTTCCGAACTCACTCAACACGTGGGAAGCCGTCTACGAGAAGTTCATGGGCAAGTATTATTCACATCAAAAGACAACCGATCTCCGAGCACAAATGGCTAGCTTTAGCCAAAACCCGGGAGAGACCTTTCACGAAGCATGGGAGCGTTTCAAGGGCTATCAACTCCAATGCCCACATCATCATTTTTGCTTGGGTGTGCTCAACCAATTCTTCTATGATGGGCTCTACCAAACCCTCCAATACATGGTGGACCATGCGGCCGGGGGAGATATCGGGAGTCACACGGCCGAGGAGATATATGACTTGTATGAGATGTTGAGCGAAAATTCCCAACGGAAAAGTGTACGCAAGAGGGCTCCCATGAATGAGGCTACACAATCGTCTGGGTCGACTAATGATGCCGTGTTGGCTAAGTTAGCCTCATTGGAGGAGGAGCTCAAACACCTTCGCCTAAGTGATGCCAAGTCGACTCAAGTAGTTATGGCGGAGGCGTGTGGTTGTTGTGGAGAAACGGGACATGGAGGCCATGAGTGTCCACGCTATATGGAGCCGGTTTATGACCCGAATGTTGTGACGGTCCCTTTTGATGTTAATGCCGTGCAAGGGTATGCCCCCCGAGCTCAAAATGATCCATATTCGAACACCTACAATGCCGGGTGGAGGAATCACCCTAATTTCTCTTGGAGGGACCCGAAGACAAACTATCCACCTCAACCGGCACCACCTCAAGCCTATGCACCACCTCAAGCCTATGCACCACCTCAAGCCTACGCACCTCCTCAAAACCGACCATATCAACCGAGACCCGAATTCCAAGGCTACCAACCGAGGCCCAAATTCCAAGGATTCCAACAACCCCGAGGAGGATTTGTTCCAAGGCAACCAATGCCACCTCAACTGGAGCCCGAAAATGAGATTAAGGTGAATCCGTCGGAAGTTCGCATCGACAATATGGAGAAATACCTTCAAAGCCTTGCATCGACCGTGTCCACTCTCCATGATGCGGTCAAGGGCGTACCTTCAATCCAAGCTTCCCTCAAATGCCTCGAGACTCAAGTGGGGCAACTCGGGACTTCACTCGGTGAGATGCAAAGGAGTAAGATGAAAGACAAGCTCCCGAGCCAACCCGAGCACGTCAATGCTATCTCGGTGTTGAGGAGTGGTAGGCAAGTTGATAATCATGTAGAAATGCCTAAGGAGAATGAGGTGGAGGAGACTTTTGTCGAGGAGGATGATGAACCGATTGAGGAGGTTGAGGTCTCGAAGGGTAAAGCCGTTGTTGACGAGGGGGTCGAGAAAGAAAAGTCGAAGAGGGATACACATGAGGGTTTACACAAGTCGGCTACACCTTTTAAGCGCCGGTTCCCTACCCGAGCCGTTTGGAAAATACGAAGAAGGAGCGTCAATTCAAGGACCTTTTCAACATGCTCTCGAAGGTGAACGTCAATCTCCCACTCTTAGATGTTATCAAGAATGTTCCGGCATATGTGCAATTTTTCAAGGACTTAGCTTCGAAAAAGCGGAGGTTTGAGGACAATGAGAAAGTCATGATTTTCGAGGTAGCCTCTACCACTATACCTCGGAAAGAGTGCGATCCGGGAGCGTTTGTGATGAGGATAGCCTTTGGGAATGGTAAGGCGACGACCGGGATGTTAGATTTGGGAGCCGAAATCAATCTCATGCCTTACTCGATTTACAAGCAATTGGGGTTGCAAGGGCTTAAGCTAACTCGAATGAGTCTCCAACTAGTGGATCGAACATTGAGGGAACCAAAGGGTATAATTGAGGATGTGTTGGTCAAAGTTGGATCTATTGTCGTGCCGGTGGATTTCGTGGTCCTTGACGTGGGAGATGTCCCGAATACCGGGAAGGAGCACACAATTTTGCTCGGACGACCCTTCATGGCGACGACCAACACCATTATCGATGTCAAGGATGGACGAGTCACCCTTTCGGCTCATGGAGAGACGGTCACATTCACGATGAACAATGCTCGAGAGTCTCCACCCAAAGTTGGCCAATGCTCATTTATGGACATGGACAAAGAGGTACATCCCGACTCTCTTTCTCATCTTGTTAATTGCAATGGTATTGGTGAGAAGAAGAAGGTAGTGGGGTCGAGTTTGAATGAGAATTTTGGATTTGGAGTGAAATTTGAGGACGAGAAGATGAGTGATGTTGGAGAGGTTGGTGGATCGAAACCGGGCAAGAAGGGAGCGAAAAAGAAGTCCAAGGGCCGAAATGTGAGTTTAGAAGGGGGTGGTGATGTGAAGACGAACCTTCCAGTGCCCCCGAAGAGTATGTGGGTGAATGTTTTCTTTGACGAGCACGATGTAGTTGGAGGAGCTCGTCGAACCGTGCCCGGTTGACTATGAATTGACGAGAAAGTCGAGCTCACGACTTTAAACCGAGCGCTTCGTGGGAGGCAACCCACGTTTTTGCTTTCTTCCTTTCATTTTCTTTTTCTTGCATTCTTCTTTTCTTTTTCCTATTTTTGCAATCTTTCT